AAACTTTTCATTTTAACATAATCAAAATTATCCATTTTGCATTTCATAATGTACTCTATCTCCTGTTTGGTCATGAATTCTTCTGATCTCCAAAAATTTGATAGGTGAACTATTCCTTGCTCTCCCACTTTGCTTATAGTATCAGCTTTTATATCTAACTCATGAACCCATTTGGACTTTATTTTGGTATATGGTGTGAGATTTTGATCTGTGCCTAGTTTCTGCCATACTCTTTTCCAGTTTTCCAGCAGTTTTCGTCAAATAGTGAGTTCTTATCCCAGAATCTGGAGTCTTTGGGTTTATCAAATAGTAGATTACTATAGTCATTGACTACTGTTTCTTGAATACCTAACCTATTCCACTGATCCACCACTCTATGTCTTAGCCAGTACCAAGCAGTTTTGATGATTGCTACTTTATAATACAATTTAAGATCTGGAACAGCTAGGCCACCTTCCCCTGCATTTCTTTTCATTAGTTCTCTTGATATTCTGGACCTTTTGTTCTTCCAAATGAATCTTGTTATTATTTTTTCTAGCTCTATAAAATAATTTCTGGTAGTTTGGTATGGCACTGAATAAGTAAATTAATTTAGGTAGAATTGTCATTTTTTATTATATTAGCTCGGCCTACCCACGAGCATATGATATTTTTCCAGTTATTTAGATCTGACTTTATTTGTGTGGAAAGTGTTTTGTAATTGTGTTCATAGAGTTCCTGGGTTTGTTTTGGGAGGTAGACTCCTAAATACTTTATGATGTCTACAGTAACTTTAAACCTGGTGAATAACATCAACCTGAAACCAAGATCTGGCCTGACCTAAAGAAAATAAAGTAAATATATTATCTATAATTGAATATACCAGATTCAGTCTTATATTAGATTTGACTTTTCAATATCACCTCTCAATTATGAAATGAGAAATTAATCTCCAGCCAGAAGTAAAATGAATAAAAACCAGGAGAGGTGACTCCCCTTCTAGCATAATTGTGGAATCAGTCACTTAATATTCCTCACAGGGCTCTGGGAATTCCTTCAGCCCTTGGAGCAGTAGAGGTGTGATGTGACAACTTCTATCTCTTTATTCTATCTGATAGCTAATAAAAGATGTGCAAAATTGCCATGGAATCACTCATGGATTGATGTATTACTTTTAAGATACAAAAATTCCTTCTAAAAATGACCCTTTGCCCAATAAGCTGCTAAAGGGGATATGTCAGGACTGACGGGCTCCAAAAATCTGGCTTCTTTGTTTACTCTATTAAACATATATTTTTCAGGACACATTCAAATCAATGAGATCACAAATCCACTTGAACATCTGAGTTCCCAGGACAAGTGTCCAAAGTTTCCCTTATGATGAAACTTTCTGTGTCCCTATTATTTAGGGCACGATTTGATGTCTTTCACATGTCAATTCCTTACCCATCTAGGATATTAAGAGAGACAAATAGACTGGAGAGCTATGCTATTTTAAGTTTCCTTTTCTTCTATTTGTCTGTCTCTTTTGCCACCATAACATAACCCAGTGGAATTTCCTTTCCACAGCAACTTGACACAATAGATTTTTTTTTTCTTTCTGGGTATTTATTAAACCAAGACTGGTCTGTTTATGCATCTGAGGACAATCTACTTATTCATTCTACAAACCTAATTGAGTTCCTACTATGTGTAAGGTATTTCTACAGGAGAGTATCCATTATTTCACTTGTTACCAGCCCCACAAATCTCTTTTATACTACATCAGCTACTTTCCTAGCTATACTTTCCTAGCAATGGGTAAATATAATTCTTTATAGCTTTCCTCTTCCACATTCTCTTACACACCAGTGGCAATTTCCTGCCTCAGATGAAAGAGGATAAAGGGTTCTTTCCTTTGTCTTATCCGAAGATTCTCTCTGGCCAAAACCATAGCCAAATAGATTTGCCTTTCCAGTTTGTGGGAGGGAAGAGAAGGGTATTCTTCCTCTTTGTGTTTTTTTTTTTTATGATACGTTTTCCAACCAGCTACACCAATCAATTTTATTTCATCAAGTCTATACCCCATTCTCTTAACTAACTGGCATTTAAGGCATATACTATCTCCAAGTTATGGGACAGAGTGTCCTTTTCCTATGATTACTTTCCAATTTTTTGCTTCTTTCAGAAATTTTTGTCTGAATTTGAATTCAGAGATCCCACAATAATCTACACTTTTGCTCTTTCTTCTCCTTCCTGAGGTCCTTTTTTATATTTCTGGAATCAGAAAGTCATAGCATTTTAGGGATATAAAGAACCTGAGAAATCAAGTCTACCAGCCATCTTACACATAAGGAAATTGAATTTTCACAGAGATTAAATGTGTTGCGCTTAGTGCAATGCCTGGTATATATAGTAAGAGCTTATTACTACTTATTACTGACTGACTGATATGGCTAATTTCAGTAGCTCTGCATGGCAGAGCCTAGATTATCATTCAGGTCCCTAGACCCATAACCCCATCTCTTCACATTTTAGAATCTGTGCTTTGGTGGCCAGCACAAGAAAGTCAAGGAAGTGCCTTATCTTGTCTTAATTGCATGGCTTGTTCACACAATCTAAATTTTGATTTAATTGTAAAATCACTGAAGGAGACCAATCATTGGACTTAAAAATAGTAGCATCTTAGATTAAAAATCAAGTTTCCCACAACATTAGGTTGGGTAACAAACCAAATAATTATTGTATTTGGTTTGAACTCCTGTAAACTATGAAGAAGGAAGTGGCATTAAAAAATATAACCAATGCAATATTAAAAGAAAGGCTCTCAATTAAAATTTCCTTCTCTTTGCTTCTGTTTTTGGACTGAATTTTAAAGACTTCTGTAAAAAAAAGAAATGAGAGGGTTTTTAAATGTTCCCGGGAATATACTAATCCATGTACTTTGCACTATTTGATTATTTTTTAGATAATTCTCAAAAGATTTTGGCATTTAAGACATGAGATTGCACAGCTGCCAAATTCACAGCCGCTAAGTAGTCTGTCGGCAGGTGCCCTAAGTCAAGGAGAGGAAAAACAACCTTCTGTTCAGGAAGGTGTGTCTGAGAGTTGTGGAAGAGAGGGCTCATTTCCACTATTTCAGAAATATTGATGAAAGCAAAAGGATAAAAGTTCATTTACTGTATGTCAGTGTTTAGATGCCATATATTCATTCAAACAGAAGCCAATCGATATTTGATAAGATAAGGACTTCCTCTCCGTCCCCTTCAAGTACAGAATAAAGATAGCTATGTGATACAGTGAATAGAGTGTTGAATTTTGAATCAGGGAGACCTGAGTTCAAATCCTCCCTCAGGTACTTACTAGCTATGTGACCTAGGACAAGTCGCTTAAACTTTCTCAATTTTCGTTTCCTCCTCTCTAAAATGGCGATAATAGCACCTCCTTCACAGGGTTGGTGTAAAAATCAAATGAAATCACATATAAGATAAGCACTTTGCGAACCTTAAAGGCATATAAAAAGAGTGATTCTATAAGGAGTATGTGAGATGGGATGGCATTCCAGGCATGGAGGATGGCCAGTACAGCGTCACAGAGATGGAAAGATGGTTTCCTTCTATCCTGTAGTGTGGTAGAAGGAGTAATACCCCATGAGGCAAGGAAGATGGTTGGAGGCTGGGATAGTGGGGATAATAGTAGCACCTACTTCACCAGGTTGTTGTGAGGATGAAAAGAAATCCTATAAGATAAGCACTTTATAAATGTTACCTACCTCTCAGTCATTTTCATCAGAGATGAAATTTAAAATGAGTTTCACAAGAGAATCTGGTGCTTCCTTCTGGCTTCTAACTGTCATATGGCCCAGATAATAATAAGTTAATAATAACATGCTATTATTTTTTACTTCTGCAGAAAAGTAGAAAAAGTAACTTGAACATATAACTGGTTTCTAACTTCTATACCTGTTTCCCTTCAAATCACTATGACCTTGAAGAGAGATCACAGTTGTTTTTTTCTCGTATCCCTTGTCCTACTCCTTAAAATTAATATAGGAAATTTCTGGCATTTTAAAGAGTTTTCCTAAAGTAAATCATGGTATAAGGATGGAGTAGCAATCACAATAACAAAGAGGAAAGTTTAAGAGAGTTATAGAGGTCTCATCAGTCTAATTTGGTGGTCTCAGGACACATAAAAAATAAGTCATGTTCTTAGTGCTTCATTTTTCATGGAACTGATTTCTCAATTCTACTAGTTCTTGTCTATAGTGGCAACCAACCTGTTTCTGTCTGGGTTAAATGGTGGATTAATTTTTGCTTTCAAAATTAAGACTTATTTTGGCAAAGTAATAGGAGTCCCAAGTTTTAAAACGCACCCCTTACCCTCCCAGAGAAGACTTTCTTCTCACAAATAAAGAAAATATACTTACTTCCTTTATCCTAAATATGCAGCTAGCACAACTAGCAGTCTTCTAAGGGAGATGAGACATTACTTTAGAATATGACTTTTTTTTGAACAGCAGAATAATATAATATGTATATGTATACCTAACCATTAAAACTGCTGCTGGGCACAAAGGATGCTGGGTCATAAAACATAAGGAAAGATAAAGATAAAGATTATGATCAGATAAAGATTATGATCAGATAAAGGAAATTCAGAGTTCTTAAACATGGAATTAGAACACATGTAGGTGATTCTTGAATTTACTTCTGTGAATAAATGGATGGATGCTGCTAATTGTTATTATCACTTCTTTTGCTTGTCCTTGCTTTTTAGAATATTATATTTGGCCCAGATAATAATGAGTTCATAACAGCATGCTATTATTTTTCATTTCTACAGAAATGTAGAAAAATAACTTGAACATATAACAGTAATTTGTTTTAACTCTGATACCAAAATGGAAGGTTCACTTTTTTTTAAAAGCACATTTTGATGGGAATATTTGGGGAACAGTGATGTATGGATTCTTTGTCTGAGAAATAAAAAAATAGCATGGTTTAAGTATAAATTTACAATTTCTTCCTTTTTTTTTCTTGCAGCCATTTATGGAGTTTTATTTGTGAAGAACAAGGAGGCTGCTTTTGCCAATTATCGCCTTTGGGAGTCCCTGGGATTTGTCATTGCTTTTGGATATAGCACATTTTTGTGTGTCTACATCAAGCTATACATAGTAATTTCAGTACTGATTTTGTCTGTGGTGTTCTATGGGACTGTTGAGGTTCTGGAACATATAAAGCCACCTGAGACTTCAGTTTCTGAAGAAAAGGAAAGTCGAGTAGAGGAAATGGATACTCAAACAAAGATGTAAAAATGACACGGTGCTGGAGGAGATACAGTAAGAAAGTCTCAGGATATTTTTTTATGTAGAAGCACCAAAGTATTAAATTGTTTTCTCAGAACAATTTCAGCATTGGTCACAATACTTCAATATATCTCCCTCTATTGGTACAGACCACAACCCATCCAGACCTTTTCATCCTGTGTAATTCTTGTCCATACTCTCCCATAGATCTCCCACAGGGAATTTGTGCAATATTCTGGAAACATTCCTTTGGACCTCTTTATCCCGTGGGTATGGAGGGTGTAGGACTGGGGCTATCCAACTATTGTCCCTTCCACTTGCTATTTGACTGGCCCACTTCCCTTCTTATCGTATAATTCTTCAATTTTTTTTTTTTATATTCCACTTCTTATATGTAGGTCATTGTTGGAAATGTGCTTCAGCCCACTTTGGCCTACCCCAGTCAGTTTTGATTCTTTTAGAGAGATGTTAAGAGATTCAACACCACACAGCTTCTCTAAAAGAAATTTTGTATAAAAGACTTGAGTCTTGATGCCAGGGAAGCACTTGGCATCGTTGAAAGTTCTGCACAAGCTTCCAAATGCAATAAAAAACTTTGTCTTTCTCCTGTTCATTTCTGGGCCCAACTCATCATCTAGCTGTAGCGGTATAGGAGTATGTATCAGAGAATTAATGGAATAACCATCTAACTTCTTATCACAGGTTGTAAAATAGCAATTTTTTATCCTTTTGATATATACATATATGTATATATTTACTGAATAGGTTGTTATACCAATCTTTTGCATAGTCCCATGTCTAAATGAGGAGACTTAATAAATTAGACTAATATCATCTGCAAAGATAAGTATCCAGAGGATATATGTGTGTGTGTGTGCGTGTGGGGGGGGGGGGTGTGGGTGTGTGTGTGTATGTGTGTGTGTGTAGCAAGTTTAAGGTTCCTGGGACTAGCAACACACTTCTTTTAGGTCACCTCTAACTCATCTTTAACTTTTGCCTGATCTCTAAAATGATCCGGCTGTGGTTTTTTTTATATTTTCTTAATAGTAATTATAAAATAATAAATAAAATAATACTAATCATAAACATAATAAATTATGTCTTCTTTCTCATTAACTAGTTTGAATCTTCCCATAATTCACTAAATATTATTTATTTAATAAACTGGAAAAACTTCTTTTCCCATAAATGGTTGCTTATGTATAAAAACCACTAATCTCCTATATTCAAATATTAAGAGCACTAGCTATGCGGCTGATTAACAATGTAAGCAATGATAACATAAAGATATCAATAATCATTTACAGTGTTTTTTCTGTGAGAAATATCACCCCAAGTCATCTCAAACTATAATTGTAACTACAATTATCTTTTCTTAACCTCTGAAAACAGTCCCACATAACTTAGTTTCTCCCAATAATCAACTTCATGAGGCAGCTAGGTGGGTGGTACAGCGGGTAAGAGCTCTAGACTTAGTCTCAGGAAGACCTGAGTTCAAAGATGACCTCAGACAGTTCCTAGCTGTGTGATACTGGGGAAGTCACTTAACCTCTGCCTGCCCCAGTTTCTTCATCTGGAAAATGGGGTTAGTAATTGCACCTATCTCACAGGGTTTTTATGAGAATAAAATGATAGATAGATAGGTAGATAGACAAATAGACAGACATCAGATAGATGTCATGTGTGGACCTGGGTGAGGACATTAAGGCCCAAGGTATGTTTTTCCATCCAGACTTCCCTCAATCACAGCCAGGGTGGAAAGAAGTCAAGTTGCTCTTGTGGGAATCTTTCGTCTGCCTCTCAATCCTGTTTCAGCAGCCAAGTTAAAAAGGTCCCTTGTAACCATGGAGTACAGAGACTGGAAATCATCAGAAATCATACCTGCACATGCTATGAGAAAGTGGCTTTCATTGATTAGGCTCTTGTTACAAACATAAATACTTTAGGGTGAGATCTAATTGACACGAAAGTATAAATCACTGCTATTCACACTAAAGTATAAATAATTGTCACCTTTTTTGTGGTTTTGATGGGAAAGGCAAAAGAATATGAATGCTAGGCACTTGGAAGGAAGAAGCGAAGTATAGGGAAGATTTTGTTTTTTAAAGAGGGAGAAGAGGGATGACAAGGAGCACTAAGACAATGTCTACTTCAAAATTTCCTTTAGGTTAGTTTTGGCTAAAAAATCTCATAAATATTTTTTTCTGAGAAACATGGCCTCAAAGGAGGACTGGCTATGACTGTTGAGAATTCTCAATTCATACTTAAATTGTAATAAAGTTTTCCAGGTCCTGCAATAAGTACAATGACAATGACTCCAAGATCTTATTGGCTAAGTAGACTTAATAACGCCATAAATGCTACCTTCCAGCAGAATGTAGACTTCTAAAGGACGAGGGTTTTCCCCCTGTCTTTTTTAACCCAGCCCCTAGTACATTGCTTCACACGTGATTACAACTTAGTAAACTTATTTAATTGAATATTACAGAAAGAACAAAGGGGTATGTAATGAACATGCTAGGAAATGCTACATTTGGGCAGCCATGCTATTACCTTGTTGTTCAATCATTTTTCAGTTGTGTCCAATAACCCCACTTCGGATTATCTTGGCAAAGATGCTGGAGTGGTTTGCCATTTCCTTCTCCAGCTCATTATACAGATGAAGAAACTGAGACAAACAGGGGTTAAGTGACTTGCCCATGGTTACACAGCTAGCAAGTATCTCAGTCTAGATTTGAACTCACAAAGATGAGTCTTCCTGATTCTAGGCCCAGCAGTCTATCCACTGTGCCACCTAGCTGCCCAAGACTATTATCTTAAGAGAGGTCATATGGTGTAGTGTATAGAAAGCAGACAAGGGAGTCGGAAAGACCTGGGTTCAATTCAGGCTCAGCCTGGGACACATGCTGATTGATTGACCTTGGGTAAGTCACTTAACTTCTTAGAATCCTAGACACTATATAAGACTATAAATTGCAAAGGATATTTCCTCACAAGAATTCTCTACACCAATAAAATAAAAAAACCAGACCAAAATGAAAACAACCAAGAATTACAAGTATAGTCGTACAAATCCTCAGTTCACTCTCTTATTCCAATTCCAAAGCACATCATGTAATATGGAACCCAAAAATGGTTAAAGGCCCACACTGTGAAGAAGTGTGCCTTAAATGAGTATTCTGTCATGCAAATGAAGTCTTAGTAAAATTCATCTTTAAGAGCTTTAAAATTCTGAGTTTCCATTTTTAAAAAATGAAATCCAAATAGCAATAATGATAAGGAAATAGGCCACATGGGAACCATTTAAAACTCTGAAATAGAAATCAGGATTAATTGGTAGAAGAGTACTTCTAAATCAAAGAAATTTAATAGAAGAGTAATAACAGAAATCACACATGACCTGAAAGTGAGTAAATTGCAAACTTTTCAAATGAACTCTTTAAGGACTCCAAGAACCACTAAATAACTTATTTTATCTGGTGCAGTTTGAAGTTTTAGTTCCTTTCACATATTGAGTTCTATTTTTTAATATTTGACTATAGGTGTGTAAGTACAGCTTAGTCTCAGTGAGTGCAAATAATGAATTTACCTGAAGTGGTTACATTATTCAAATTTGTACCACATGTTTCCATTGAGCTGAAACAGATTACCATAGTTTACATAATTATAACTTCAAATAGTATGAATATGAATACATGCAACCACTGCAGTGGATTCATTATTTTTACTAACTGGGACCTAGCTATATAAATTCTGGAAGCTCCTTCAGGCAGAGAATTCATAAACTGAAGCATGCTCCAGGACTAGTCATGGGGATGAGGAGGCAACCTCCCAGATGGGCACTGCAGATTCATGATACATGTTCTGCATATATTAGGTGCTTAATAAGTCTTTGCTAAAATGTTTGAATTAATCTGCAATATTTTTTGCAAAATGTGGACTTTCTGCAAAAAGTTTTTGGGGAACTTTCTTAATTCAGAGATTAACTATATGCCTTCCTTCTCATTCATCATGGCCATGATGGAAGTTTTTTAATTATTTTTTAACTTTGCAGTCATTGCATCTTTCCCCAGAAATAATTGAGGAAACTCAAAAATTGAATATCTTATTCTAAAAGAGAATATTTTATTCTAAAATAGAATATGTTATTCTACCTTAGAAGAAAAAAGAATGGAAAGAAAAAAAATCATAGAAGAACAAAGAGGAAAAGATGGGGTGTGACAAATTCTGGATGTCAAATGAGACTGGGGGTAGAGTCATGTTCAGATCCCTGTAAGGCCAGAAATGTTACTAAGAATAGACCTATTCTGTTCCCAAACAAGGCCCACTGCCAGATCCTTAGGGGAACTCCCTTCTCAATACCAGGAATTGAGAGATGTACTCAAAAAGGTCAAGGCAAAGATGTTACCACTACCACTACCATGGTAGTGATAAATTGTGTCATCAGCTTTGTCCCAGAGCACCAATAATGGCTGGATAAGTCTACTTGCGGACTCATCTTATAACTGTGGCTCTGCAATTATTTCTGGAGAATTACCAGTGGAGATTTATCTGGCTCTTTACCTTTACCAATGTTTTGCCACTGTGCCCATACCATGTTCTCTTATCTCTTTAGAATTACTGTTTACCTCTGGGCACAAGGTGATGATGATTGGGGAGAAAGAGAACCTGGAGTTTTGATACTACTTACCTCTCTGGGAAATAATGCTTGGGATAGGACCAGTGGAGAAGGATCAAGAAGCTGGCATCCAGAACTGGTTGTCTCTGTCCCTCTTTCATTGTTTTTAAGATGTAAACATCCTGGTTGTCACATGGGCATGGGGAGCAAGCTGCTGCTATTGCACTTGGTGGTTAAACTCCCGTGAAGTAAGCAGGAATTGGACTGTGAGCTATGGTAGCTACAAACTGCTGTGGGATCAGACTTTCTAGGCCAGGGATTGAGACGCCAGAGAATGGCACTGGAGAGATCAGTCAGATCCTGTAGCAGAGATGAGACTGGAATGAGCAAGTCTGACCACTAGTGTGACTTCTGCAAGGCTGATGGGTTGAAGGTGGAAGACTGCTTCTCTTACTGTGTTCTTGTCCTTGATACAGTCC